ATTTGGTAGCCCTTTTGGGGGGGGATAGGAACGGTTTCCACTTTTTTTGGAGAAGGGCCCATTAAATCTTGGGAAAATTTATTAGGTTTTTTTTTGGGAGGGGGGCCCTGGGGAGGGTGGTTAATTTTTTGTTCCTTGGGACTTACAGGGAATAGTTGGGGGGGTTAACTTTTAGGGGAAAAGGGTTTTTTTGCCCCAATTCCACGCAGGGGGAAAAAGATTTTTTTTTTTTCCCGTTTTCCGGAATTGGAATGGGATCCAAAATTTCCTCTTGGCAAATCCCTTCCGGGGATTTAACGGGGAAAGCCCAACTTTTCCAAAAAAATTGGGGGAATTTCCCGTTAAAAAAATTCACGGGTTTGGGGAAATTTTTTTTTCAACAAGCATGTGGGGGAAATTTTTTTCTTTTCAAAATCCCCCAAAGGATGTTCCCCAAAGTTTTGGATTTTTGTGTTAAACCCCCCCCCCCCACCCCCCCCCCCCACCCCCCCCCCCCCCCCACCATCACGAACGCTGACTGTGCTTTATCGATAATATTTGGTAGAACGTTGGCTAAACGGGTCGTTAGGACTTTTACAATGACCTTGTAGATCACATTGCAGCAAGCTATTGGTCGAAAATCCCCCACTACTTGTGCTTGTACTTTCTTCGGGATGAAGACCAGTACCGTGTTATCCCACTGCTTAGGCAATGAGCCGTTCTGAAAGAATTCTTGCCCCGTTTCCGTCAAGAGTGGCCCAACCGTTTCCCATGCTTGTTTGAAAAAGTGGGCGGTGAATCTGTCTCACCCCGGATCTTTGTTGTCCAAAATATCAAACAGTGCATCCTTAATTTCCGAATTTAGGATCGGCTCCATTAGTGTAACCCGATCATCCTCGTGAATCCTCATCCCAAAATGTAGAACCTCCAAGTCAATAGCTTCACACGGCTGACGTGTTCCTAAGAATTCCATGTAAAACTGCAAAAGTTATGCATGGACTTGCTCACGTGAGGTGGTCATCGTCCCGTCCGCATGGCGAATAGATGCCACATGATTCCTTTGTGCATTCCGCTTAACCATTCCATGAAAGAACTTGGTCGACTGATTGCTATTATTCAAATAATGTAGCTTCGCCTTTTGATAGTAGAAGCTCCGTTCCGCCTTTGTGAGAAATTTTGCCCTCGCTGATCTAGTAATGGTTTCTCGTTGTAGGACTGCATTGTTCTGGTCGTCATGAAGCTATTGTTGGGTCTCATCGAGTTCAAGAGACGCTCGTTTAGCTTGTTCCGAATGTGACCAAATTCCTTATGATTAAGGCTCTTGAGAGGGGATTTCAGAGCCTTCATATTTTTAATCACCGCCCGTTGTCGGCTTCTTTGACAATCTGTTGTCCATACTTCTTGTACAAGGATGGTCTTGAAGTCCCCATGCATCATCCACGTGTTGAAAAACCGGAACGGGCGTGAGGTCGGATCTCCATCCACCCCCATCTTCACTAAGATCGAAGAGTGGTCCGAGTTCTTCCCGAACAGTAAGAAAGTTGTTGTAGTATCTCCATAAGTTTGCAGCCAAGTCGGATTCACCATAGCTCAGTCAAGTTTTCTCCACACAGTATGATTTGACCAAGTATAATAAAATTCCCTAGTGGTTAAGTCATCCAACCCCGTTAACCGGAAACACTCCTGGATATCATTAACCATATAAGGGGTCACCACGTTTCCTCCCAATTTTCAACCGGTCGTCGAACCGTGTTAAAATCCCCTGAGCGTAGTCACGACAACGTAGAGGTTTGCCTGTAGTTTGCAAGTGACGTCCATAACGGCCTGCGAGAAACAATTGAAAATCATCCATATACAAAGCTCACCTGAATTTGCCGACGCGACACGAGACAAGATACTTTGCAATGAATGAGTTGGCACGTCATTCCCATCGTCTCCATCTGAATCATTGACGGATTCCATATCAGTAGAGTGCGGCACGCCCTATGAAGTTGGAAATTGTTCACCTGACCCCAGTGCCGCAATTTTCGTGCCATGATCCCATCCAACAACACCGGATCCTATACTTTTTTCTCCAGTAGCCCACAAACATCCACCTTATGTCTCCTAATGAGGTCGGCGACCTTGTTTTGCATGAGGGTTTCCCTCATGTTCCAGCAAGCAACAATCATTTAACTATGGGAGGAACAATGCCCCTCTGGAGCAATGGCGTAGTTTCATCAGTTGCACTAGGCGTCTTCTTCTCCATGACTTTCACTAGGAATGCGTCATCCCTTCCTTTCGCTACGAAAACAGCCGTATCCGGGAGGTCCTTCTTCTTGATCGTAACAAAGGGTTTATCCCCCGAAGTCGAATCAATAGGAGTTTGCAGATTATCGTATTTCTCCAAATCCCCTGTGGTCTCATAGGCGTTCCACAGCAATCCGTTGAGGAATCATCATCGGCCATGTCTATCTCCTCAACTTCTTCATCTGAAACGTCATTAACACTTGAATCCTCAAATACCGCGTGGGTGCCCGTTCATGGAACAATTGCATCCTCCACTTCTTTCATCGGCTTAGGTTGATTCACGGCCATGACATCATCCGGGGGCGGGGGGTTTCTTGCTTTGGTTGAACGAGTTAATCAGTGTCAACGATTTCCGTAGAGGTTTCGTAGCATCCACCTTCATCTGAATCTGTGCGTAGCCAAGGCATCCCAAGTCCTTTGTGATCTTGTCCATTTGGATTGGTCTCCCGATCTTCTGGGCAATCATGCTGAGCAACTTTGGTTGTACAATCCTCTAGAGATGTTGAAAAGCGTCACCCAAACCGGAACGTACACCATCTCCCGAATGTCGAAGTTGAAGAACTTCAGCATCGTCCGAACATACAGTGTGGAAGTACAAATTATACTTCCATGTATCCATGACCTTCATCCTATCTTGGTCCGATTCGAATTTGAACAAAATCCACCCGGAAGGATGGATTTGATACTTAAACGGGACACCCCCCCCCCATCTTGCTTTGATGTCCTTGATCACATCAATTCGAGGGAATGGCCCCGGAAAATAACCGACACTCAAGAACACACCCCTCGTATCCAAGTCTTCAACATCGTCTTCTCCGAATCGTAGAACACCGGAGTCATCCAATCCATCCACCGTGTGGAGCGCCAAGTCAGCCGGCGGTGGGCACATTCCTTTGAAGAAACTTTCCCACGTTTTTTGGAGCTTCCTTGTCGTCGGTGGGTACCCAACATTGTTCAGCCGCCTTAGATGTCTCAAGGTGAGAGACAGTCGGAATAGTTTGCTCCGTTGATGTGGGAACAACCTCAGCCTCCCCCAAGCCCTTGTCGAGTGCCTTTGGCAAGGGTTTAGCAAAACCCTTGCCCGTCTCCAATCCCTTATCGGCCGTTGCATTGCCACGACTTCCTCGCCATGTGCAGGGATGAGGAAGGTTAGCCGCTGCAAACGAAGCCAAGAAACCCTAGCCAAGGTCCCTTGGATCCCCAAACACCATCGCACAAGAGTCCTTGTGACTCGCGCTTCTTCACCACTGTGTGGATCTCTCTCCTCCATCTAGCACCAACCGCCGCCAATAAACCCTAGCAACCACCGATGGTCACCACCAATAAACAACGTAATCCCATCGCCGGAACCTCCCAAACCAGCGCCCACACAATCGGATCAATTAGATCAAACATTAATCACGTAGAACTCGCACAAGACAAAAACAAAACTCCTAACCGATGAGCAAATCTCCCCCAAATTCATAGTCAATATGAGCGCGTCGATGAGACGAAGCCAACGGTGGGTACACCGTTTGATTCCGTCCACCAGAGAAGGAGCACCGCCGCCGAAAGCACCCCAAGATGGCCGAGAGAGACCTAGGGGCGGAAATCTTCTTTTCCTAACTTTTGAGAGAGTTTTTTACTGAGTATCTCGGTCGTTTAGGTTCTTCAACATGTGGACCATGCATGAGGACTTCAACAGTATTGTGGAGGATCTATGGATTGCTGATCGTCGCGGGAGGCGAAAATGGGCGGTGATTCAAAATTTAGAAGCTCTTAAAAACCCCCCCTTAAGAGCCAAAATCGTAACGAGTTTGGCCATATATCGGGACAGGCCGATCGTGCGCTCACGAAGTTAGAGGAGACCCAACGCAAACTCCATGATGACCAGGATAATGGGGTGTTGCAACGTGAGGTCGTAGCCAAAGCGGAGAAGAGTTAAAATAATATTGTTTTTAGATGGGGAACAGACGGAATGGTTACCT